GCATTTGCGAGCAAAAAAGATGGAGACGAATGAATTATTTGTAGTTAGCAAGTATACACGGGAACATACTTGTGAACATACATAGCAGGCAAGCCCGAGTATGGTTTATTGGTCTACAGGTAATGCATAAATATCAGGCCTTACGGACAATTTACGGACCTTCAAACATCATTAACGACATTCATCGAGAGTACGGAGCGGTTATGAGCTACCAAAACGCCAAAGAATGTACATTTGATGATTTAATGGGCTCAGTCGAGAAGAGATATGCTAAATTGGCAAGATATTACCATAATATAGGAACAACTAATTCTGGCTCGACATTTTTTATTGAGATGGAGGGCAAGAATTACTTTAAGTTTTTCTATATCGCTCTTGGACAATGCATCCGAGTATTTCGAAATGCAATGCAGCACCTAATTCTAGTCAATGATACAACTCAGAAAGCTAGATATAAAGACAAGTTAATTATTACTATATGTCGAGATGTCAACATCTAAATTTATCCTCTTGTATTTGATACTATTGATAGGGAGAATGATCTGTCGATGCGTTGGTTCTTCACAATGCTGAGGAAAGTAATCAAGGGAGTCAAGGACCTTGCCTTTATAACTGATCGAGGACCGTCTATAATAAATGGTATCGTTGAAGTTTTTCCCAAGGCACATCGTGAGTATTTTATGTACCATATATAAGACAGCCTAAAAAGCTAGATATCGGGACAAACGCATCGTTTCATTGTTCAGGAGAGCTGCAAAGCTTACAGTGTTGAAGAATGTAGTAAGTTCATAGTTGAAATAAAAAGTAAATCATTCTAGGCATGGGAGCATCTAACAAAAATGGGGATTGAACATTGGGCACTCTTGCATTTTTTAGCATGTCGATACAACATGGTGACGTCAAACAATGTGGAGTCTCTCAATATATTATTTAGAAAAAATCAAGAGTTACCAATCCTCGTAATAATTGAGAACATTCATAACAAGTTACAGTAGTGGATTCATGATCAACATACAGAATCACAAAGTTGTATGAGCATGCTGGCCTCTGCTCAAGAGAATAAACTCTTTAAGGCTACAGAAGTTGAATGTGGAATCACTGAATAAGTTGTGTTTCTCTGTGAAATGTGCACGTAATATGGTATATATGGTGAATTTGACTGATAATATATGCACTTGTAATCGATTTCAGTTAGAAAATTTTCTATGTGAACATGCATTTGCGGTGGCTATGCATAGATGTTTTGTAGTGAGAACACTATGCTCTCCTTATTACACAACTGATTTTTAGAAAGTAACCTATATTGAGACTATATTTACTCTTCCCTATGCAACTTAGTGGGAAGTTCCGATTATATTTTACTATTTAATAGTTTGTTGCCACCCAACGTTGAATCAGGTAGCTCTGGACATCCACGTATGTTTAGAATACCATCCATCAGAGAGTTTTTTAATTCACATAGGTATGGCAGGTGCAGAGCAACAGGGTATACTCGCTAATTTTGTACAAATCAAATTTTCCTAAATGGCAATTAAATATACAATACTTACATTTTTTCAAAAAATATTTACAATTATTTCACAATTAAATATACAATATTTACATTTTTTTTTACAATATTTATAATTGTTTCACAATTAAATATATAATATTTATGGATGGCAATTGAGTTCATACATATTATGCGCTAACTTATTGCTCCAATTTTGTATTCGGGATTGATTGATTCTATCAACCTTATGTGTTACACTAAAAAATTAAATATACTTTACTGTAACATGACACAAAATTGCCTCTGTAATTAATACGAATGTGTTAGTTCTGTACCGTGTAATTAAAAACTAAAATTTTAAATTAAAAAAATTATAAATACTTATGATCTCAACTGTATCGGCATTATCGTATCTCGCACGATCGTCTAGCCATCATACGAACAATCACAACCACTGACTCAAAGTTATGCTCGAACTAATCTTATATCAGATAGGAATGATTGGAATCGTACATATATATAGTGGAATCAGTAAAGATGATCTCCACGGTAAAGCTATAATGATTCACGATCACTGAAATGTACATATGCGTACAACTTTCCTATAACTTTCCCCCGACACTCCACTATATCCCTATGATTGAAGATATGCATGATTGAAGCAAATCTGAGAACTATATTCACTTGATGTTGTTGCTACCGCTACAGAATTACCTTATGTCGAAGAAGAGGATTAAAATTGTTTTGGACTCCACTTCTCTTTTTTCTCTTTACTATGACATGGAAAGAAAGTTCACCCTAATATCTTTTACATAGAAGGAAAAGTAAAGTAACCTAATATGTACAATTTTTACTTAAGTGTCCTATAAAATTAGATTACCGCAATCACGGATAAAAGTGTTTAATTTATTAAGTTATGCGCATTCAACAACTCATGCTGGACGACACGATCTAGATCTAGCGTGGCACTCCCCAGCTCAAGGCATAAGTCGACCATGCCGCAGGCGTACAACTAGCTGGCTTTTAATGGCCATAATGGAGACATTATTTTGCTTTCATTTACGGACTTACCAGTGAAAATATGCAATTCATTTATATAGTAATAAATCACATGAAATAATGAATCTTAGTTATCAATGCCTTCTTTTAGCAACGTTCATTTTCAATTTGATAATTTATTGTTTTCATTTTGTCATTGTTGAGTCATTTAAGTAATTTACAATTTTGTTTCGATCATTTCTAGCCTATCCAAATCTGTGAAGTTAATAAATGACATGAATCACTAAGTTGTTAGCATGACATAAATGAATATGATCGATTACACGACACAAAAAAAAATATTAAAGTTTGACACGTATCCTTGCTTATTAAATCTATATGACCCCACCAAAGACTTTGTCTTCTTCGATACTATTTTTAGTTCAATTGGAAATCGAGTCAATAAAAAGGGAGTACGAGAGAGAGACCGACGTTAATGTCGAACTACTTAATTTAATATTTTAAATACAGAAATGGAGGAAAAAAGATTATATTTTAATTTATATATGTCCTCAATAGCCAATAAGGTTCTTTTTCGGTTACTTTTTAATTATCAAATTAGGCTCTTAGTTCAAATGTTTAGGCTCCTTTAATGGGCTTATGATTTTTTTTTTTGTGCTTTATAGTAAATATAAAAAGTGAAAAGATAGAGAATTGCTTCTTTCCTTTTAACTTTTGGCGTTCTCTTTTGCTTTACCTTTTTACTGGGGAATCAGCCAGCTTTCATTCAAGAATATGAAAGATTTATCATAGACTACGCTACTTGATTTCAAGAATTTTGGCTTATTTCTCATAATTAGATTTAAAAATGATCCTACTGCTATAGAAATGCAAGAGACCAGAAAGAAAATCAGTACTACAAAAATTTATACTTGCTTAAAAACCTTCTTATGTACACGGAATCCGTGTACATATATATAGCATTCCATTTACATATAGCATCACCCATTTTGAAAAGATGGGATGAACTCAAACGTAAGTTATTGGTCCCTTGGTTTCGAGCTATGCTACAGGCACAAGGAAATTTCTCAAAATTTTGATAAGTTTAACATTTGGTAATTTTTCATTGGTTTTGGACCCAAACATGATAGGAAATGCACCTGTATGGATTCTGTGCATTATTTCTATGTTAAAGAAAAAACATAAAAAAATAAATTTTCATTATAAAAATTGTATGTATTAGACCGTCAGTAATTTGTACGTGAAATGACAGATTGAAATTAATATATTAATAATGAATACTTTCCTTAATCTTGCAAGGCAACTTAACGCTATCATGAACTTAAAGCAATTCTTTTTCTTTTTTTAACGGCCATATTTTAGTGTTTGAAGAGGAAAATAATTTAATAATAACTTTTTTACATATAAAAGACTTTCTTTATAAATCACACGTCTAACTTATTGTTACGAAAAATAGTCTCTTCCATCTTATTCATCTAATATATTTTTATGAAAAATTATCTTTTCCGTCTTTTTCACATACTTCCTCACCTCCACCTAACTCGTGCCTCCTCTTTATTCACCTATTAACCCTAGTGAGGCTCTCGAGAAGCTATCGAGTTGATGCTATAGAGGCTCTCAACAACCTATCAAGTCGAGCAAACAAGAAAGGCAAAGGGAAATTTTCTGAACTACAAACTCTGCATCATCTACTATTATCCTTCAACCTAAAAAATATTAAAAGAAATTTCCTTTTCCATTTAATCTCTAATTTATTCTTTCTTAAAACATATCCAAGATGCTCTCTAAACAGAAGATACTCTTAATTTTAGACTGTCAACATTTAAAAATAAATTTCAAGAGATTCTGTTTTAAGTTTTTAAAATAGATAGTGAATTTAGTTTTTCAAATTTGAAAAGCCAAATTCAATCTTTATTTTTTCTTTATAATGATTGCATTTAATAAGTTATAGATTTTGATATTCTATTTCTTAAATTATTCAATTCTTATTTGAATTTATTGGCCATGACATATAAAAAAATGTGTTAAATGAAAAATAAGAAATCCGTAAATATTTTTTGAAAAAGAGAGAGGTCAAAATAGAGTGTTGTTAAAGTGCAAAAAATTTTACTCCATAGATTTCAACCCCTATTTAGTAGAATTAAAATCAGAGTTTTAGTGGATTTTGATAAAGATTGACTAGATTTTACAAATTTTTTAATTAAAATTAATTGTTGACTTTGATTTAAATTAAAATTTGAATTTAATTTCTACCAAATATGAAATGGATATATTCTCTACTATACATAAGATATCTTTATAAATAGGGAATCTTTGGAAAATTTGAAATGCTCACACTTACTCTTGTTTCTTTATTTCTTATTTTTTTCCTTTTCCTCTTTGTGGGACTTCGGACCTTGACACTACTGTCAAATTAAATATATTTTCTAATATAGATAAGATGATTTTATAAATAGAGAGACTCTTGACACTTCTGATAAAAAATTTTCCTTGAACTTTGTTGACAGTTAATGCATTGCTGTCTACACTACATCTGTAACTTGTACAGGGTGAGTTGTTTAATTCGTTTTCCTTTTCCTCTTTGTGGGACTTCGGACCTTGACATTAGGCCGCTACAAATCCCAAATACCTACTTCCACAGTTCTACGGCACACCCACACGCTGAAATTTAAGCCCCTCATGAGAATCTGAATTTCCTTCTCTTCCCTAATTTTCTAAATTGCACGTTTTCCTAGGCTAAAACATCGAGTAAAACTGCGTATCATATTTTGACTACTTTACCATAGCATTGAAGAAGTTTTGTGGAATGTTCAAACTATGAGGTGGACATTTACACAGCTGTTCGTTGGCATCGACATTTATGTCCAGGCAAAGAAATGGAGGCATATTTTGGCTGTAAGTATCATTTGAAGCAATTCATGATCTTTGTGCATCACCAGTTTGCTTAACATAGAGTCTTTGCTATTTATTAGTTGGGTTTCTTGAAATTGAGATAAGGAGTCTGCTTATTGCTTGTGCACCTCAATTTACAAGCTGGATTTGTTCTCAAAGCAAGCAAAAGAAATTGGGTTCTTGGGATTCTTAACAAGTGATTCTCTATTTGATTCTATACAGTTGAGTAGATGAAGCTTTGTTATGCTGCCTGAACGCTAAAATGTCTTGGATTCAGTCAGCATTTGGAAGTAAAATCAGCCCAGTAATTCTTTTCATCATAGTTATACTGGCTGTTATATTCTTCATCTCTGGTGCTCTCCACCTGGTTGTTAAATTTCTTATGAAGCAAAGAAATTCATCATCACAGTCTAATGAATACCCAGAAATGTCGACTTCTGGTGCTTTTCAAAGACAGTTACAACACCTCTTCCATTTACATGATTCAGGTCTAGATCAAGCCTATATTGATGCACTCCCTATGTTTCTATACAAGGATGTTGTGGGTTCAAAAGAGCCATTTGATTGTGCTGTTTGTTTATGTGAATTCTCAGAACAAGACAATTTGAGGCTTCTGCCCTTATGCGGCCATGCTTTTCACATTGATTGTATAGACACATGGTTACTCTCAAACTCATCATGTCCACTTTGTAGAGGGGTAATTTTGGCACCTGGGTTTTCTTTGGAGAACCCATTTTTCGCCTTCGATGACTCGAAAGATGACGATAGAGATTCAGGGAATTCAGGTTTTGTTAGTGTTTCTTGTGGTCCAAAGACAAATCACGAAGATAGTAGCATTATTAGTGACAAAAGGGTTTTTTCTGTGAGGCTTGGCAAATTTAAGAACACAAATTATAGTCAAGAATGTGAAGAAAGAGAAGTGGGAGAGAGTAGCAACAGCAATATTGATGCTAGGAGGTGTTTCTCAATGGGTTCATTTCAATATGTGGTTGCTGATTCAGACCTCCAAGTGGCCTTGTGCACTCCTGTTAAGGAGAAAGGAGGGCAAAGTGGGAATTTCACAACTGATGAGGATGCTTTTGATGAGAAGAAAATTAACACTAGAAGTAAAGGTGAAAGCTTTTCTGTTTCTAAGATATGGCTGTGGTCCAAGAAAGGTAAATTTCCCAGTTCCACAAGTACTCACTGTTCTGACTCTATTGATGTGAGTTTGCCATGAAATGATTATGTTCAGACTATACAAGAAGATGCCAATTTAGTAATAGCAATAGTAATACAAGGTTTTGTTCACTGTGGAAAACCATTCAATTCTTAGTGCTAAGGGGCTTCTTTTTTTCTTTTTGAATTTAGATCTAACAATAAATCGAATGGAGTTGAGAAAAAAGATCTATGTAGACAACCTTTTAAATTTTTTATTGACGTGTAGTATGTTCATTGTGAAAACGATTCAATTGTTACAGTGCTTCTTTCTTCTTCTTTTTTCCCTGTTTTTTTATCGATGCATCTCGTTTTGGATCTTTCGACGGGAATAGCAATAAATCGAATAGAGTGGAGAAGTAAGATTTAATATAGCCGGCCGTGCAAAATTACAAGAATCTAGACTTAGCTCCTATTTGGTTTTATTAAAATCAGATTTTTAGTATGTGTTAATAAAAATTGAATAAATGGACGATTGAAAATTGATAAAAGTTGTGGATTTCATAAAATATTGGTTGAAACTGTTTTAAAAAATAAGGTTTAGTTTGTGGTCGTTATTATATCAATATTGGCCCTTTTCTTGTAGTATTTTTATGCAATTTACAGTGAATGATTCTTCTGTCCTCACACTTCGTGGAAAATGCTATATATACTTTTTCTTTAATTCAAACCCCACAAGACTCAGGGAGTGGTGGGTTGGGGTGGGGTGGCGGGTCTACAAATCTGGCGGTGCAAAATTTTCTTGCCATCACTCCATCTACTCTGGCCCACAAAATAGTGAAATGAAATACTTTTTTAAGTCCAAAAGTTCATCCTAATACAGCAAATTTCAGTTCTCAACACTGTTTTTGGAATATTCCAACTCCTAAGATCATATTTGGTCAAATTGCAGTATTATTTTCTAACTTCCAGATTTTTGTGGATTCTGATGCAAATTAAGGTTCTGGTTTCTGATGGGAGTGTCTTTCAAGGTTTTAGTTTCTTTAGAGGGGTCTTTTCAGAAATGGCCCGGAGCATGAGAATTTCTGAACTTGGCCCGGTTTGGTGTAATTTTAATCACATATTTTACGGATTTCAAGACTTTTTAATTTCGCATTTTTTTATATCAAAATCTATAAAAAAAATCTAATTTTGATCTCCATCAAACGAAACTTAAAATCCTTCGCTCCAAAGTTTTCGAATCCAACTCGAGAACAGACGGGAGAAACTGCAGCATGAGAAATGTTTGTCTCATCTTTATGCTTATTTTGATTCATGATTCACAATGCCAGCAGATTTATCTAGTCAATGGACGGGGCACAAGGGTCCCGATGGCTTGTACTATCCAGTAGAAATCTTACTCATACTGAATACGTGGAGGGTGAAAAAATGAAGAGAGAAATGGGATCATATTTTGTTTACTTGAAAAATCAACAACCAGTAGGGTAGCATGCTTAAGGGCCCCGTTATGGGATGAAAATGAGAGCTGTGGGGGATGGGTGAAATTTAAGAGGAAGGCACTCTTGTTATGATGAGAAATTTTAATTTAAAAAAGTTGACTTATTAGTGGGCATGGGGCCATGGACTTTGTCGGTCTAGCTCCATGTCCCATCCAAATATACTTTTTGTTGCACAATTAATTGAAAGCAATTTGGTGGGAAATGCATGAGCAATGGAGTAAAAATGGGTCGAGTTGTCTAGATCAAAACAGTTAGAAATATTAAGTGAAACGAGTTGCTTTACAACTCAGCTCATGTTTAGGTGAGTTACAAACGCGAGCCGAATAACGAATCACTTGTAGAAGGCGCTTGCTTGACTTGCACTAGTTGGCTTGCAAGCCAAGTGAGTCAGTCAAGCGACTCACATTTTAGCTTCGAAAATGCAATTATTGGCTAAAAAAGGGTGAGTCGCAAGTAACTCGTGAGGTAGCTCGGCACACCCCTTCAAGGGGAAAGCTAGTGGACGAATCAAGCCAACTTTCTTGATATGAGCCCTCCGCTCATCTCATTTAACGCCTCAAAAGAACGGTTTGACATACCCTAGGCATAGTTTAGACACGATGCACTTCATTTTACATCAATAATGCAAAGTAATAGTAGGTCTAGTGATGATTACCATAAGACTTAAGAATGATTTACGTTCATTGACTACAATCTTCAATTACATAACATCACGGGTTTCTAAGTTTGCCCTGCTTTCTCACTCTTATTTAGAATTCTAATATCAGTCTTAAATAAGTCATGTTAATCGCATAACTAAACAGTTACATCAGTATACTCTGCTATTGCCTTTCTGAGGATCCTTAGTATCACAAATTGTGTCGCAAACCACAATGATCCAACAGGAAGATTTGCAATCCTTAGAGTCAATCCCTATTTTGATGTCTTGATTCAACTGTTTGTTTGTGGACTAGAATTCCTGGTTGCATCTCCCCTTTGTAATTGTCTCAAATCTTTATTAATAAAGAAAATTACAGAGACATTCCTCGAAAGTATCAGTAATTACAAAGATTTTCAAAAATTAAAGAAATCTTCTTTATTTTGAATTTTGAATAATTCATACCTCCTCTAAAATTTATGACAACATCAGATATACGCTGATGAATGGCAATTTGAACCGTTAAAATCGAAAACTGCGATTAACCAAACCTAACAAGACAAAAAAATCGAACCAATGGTGCAATGGGGTGGACATGATATTTGATTTTAGTGAACCGGTTCGAGACGGTGTGGGTATGGTATTTACGTTGTCATCCCGAACCGAATCGATTACCCGTTAAATTTATTTTTTTCCATCTAAATAGTAATCCAATGCAAAACATGTATAAAAAAAATATATCTAATTTTGCAAACTCCATCGGGGCCTTTTTTTCCCTTTTTTCAGTCACACATAATGGTTATTAACTTACTCGTTCTTGAAGCGAACTCAATCAACATTTTCAGTTTCAAAAAACTTATTCTCTTACAGTAAATTTGATCATTTGATTAGTTTTAGGCATCTGAATTGGCTTGAACTTAAGTATACATAGTCTTTGCTTTTCTTGATTTTGTCATCATTAACGTAGACATCACCCTTGGTACCATAAATCGCCGCCTTCTTACAAGTGCACCCTCTATTGGCCCTTTGTACAAATTTGATCAGGTAAGTGATCAACAACGCAAATTGTTTGAAGTGCTCCAATATAATTCACTCGACTATTAGTTGATACCATCATGTGTGACTTTTTTCATAAATTTTTTTTTTCAATTTGATGATTGGACTTATTAAAAAATAATTTATTTTCAAGGTTATTAACCTCCTCGAACTGAGATACGAATCGAAATCGACTTACGTGGTTATGGTGCGATTAAGGTATAACAAAAAAATTGGTGGTTCGGTGATAGTTTTGGTCGAACCGACCCCGAACCAAACCGTTGCCAACCCTATATACGCATATTCCTTTTTAAAATTTACATAAATCTCTCTTATCTTAAGTTTTTAATAACATAGGTTAATGACTATTTCCACGACACACCTCTCCTAAAATATAATTTAACTAAATTAATAATAAAATATTTTTTATACTATCGATTTTCTAAAAATAAATTTTTAAAAATTTATCAATGGAATATTCAATATACATTTACATATTCCTTTTAGGTTCTCAAATCAGAAGAAAAAATAGCATTCTAATAAGACTAAAATATTAAGCCTCTATTTGGTGTAGATTAAAATTAAAATTTTAATATATTTTAATAAAAAAAAATTACAAAATATGTAGTTAAAATTAATTGACTTTGACTTGAAATTTATTTTAGATTTTAATTTGCACCGAACATGGACTAAATATTTCAATTTGGCTATATACCAACCATTTTACACAAAATATTTAAGAGTAAAGCATCTGTAGTATTCATAAACTTCACTCAATCGATCATTCAATAACTTCATTTTTTTGTCAACCCTCCGTTAAAGTAAAAAAGAAGAAAAACTAGTTATAAATTTGCGAACTCACTTATATCTAAAAAATATATAATCATGTTATTCATCGCCTTCAATGAAGAAGTCATTTCCTACCCAACTATTAAATTTCTTAGCGTGTATTTAAGATAAAATCAAAATCAGAATCCCTCCATCTTGGATTCCTCAATATAGTTATTCCAATTGATAGAAAATGTTGAAATATTTTTGAAAAAATGATGGTCTAAACAACACATTTTTATTGATTTATTTAAAAATGTTAAAATTATATTTTGGGTATTACATTATTGTGAAAGAAAAGTGAGTAAAGGAGGTATGTGTTATTCAAAATTTGAAAGAAAGGAGGTTTGTGTAATTTTTGAAAAATGGAGTTTAATGAAATTATCATAGGAGTATGCGTTATTAAAAACTTAAAATAAGGGAGTTTTGTGTGATAAATACACGAAGGGAGGTGATCAAATTTTGTATCATAAATCTCAAGGAAAGTATGCATTACTAAAAACTCGAAATAAAAGAGATCTGGATAATTTTTAAGAAGTGAGAACTTCAGCAAAGGTGTGTTTAACTTACTCTTATTTATATATCATATATTAATTATTTATCTTGTTGACCCCGGAAATTGGTCCTTCCACGTGGCCAACTGAAAGCTACTCCACATGTTCCTCCCTGCACACAATCAGCGAATAGTCAGGCGCACACGGCCGGAACCAGCGGGGGTGGCGGCGGCCGTATACACTCCGACGATCAAGTCAGGTTTAAGTGATTGGAACAGTACCCAGGGGCTATGCAAATCAACGATAAAGGGGGAGGAGAAAATATATAAACTTCCTATGGATTACTATGTAGTAAGAGTTTCATTTTTTTTGCCTCTTGCCATACCTTGGGTATTTATAGGTGGTATGAACCGTTGGATGTGGAACGCGTGTATACATCTGACGGTATGAAGCGTCCGCTCATAGGCGTCAATCAGCTGCGTTTGTAGAGTGGGCGGACAGTTTGTTTCTTCTGAATTGAATTGACATAAAGTCGATAAGTCACATCAACTAGTCTCATGGAGACGTCAAATCAATTTAAACCTTAGGCGCAGGACAAATCTCAAATTGGCAACGGATCTTCTAATCGGGGTCCACTTGATCTCGACCTCGGGAGGCGAGATGCTTCGGCAGGTCAGTAGTAGGAATCGCTATATCACTTCGGAGACACTTCGGAAGGGTCGTTTTCAGGTTGGAATATGTGGTGCTACGCGGGGTCCACTTGATCTCGACCTCGGAGGCGAGATGCTTCTATATCACTTCGGAGACACTTCG